GAGCAGAATCAGCAGTATTCTTCTCCAAAATTCTGTCCTTCGCAAGAAACAGTGGGATGGCATGTGAGCACAGCTTCATATCAGTTCTTTCTCAAAGAACTGATGTCAAGATCGAATCTTGACTTCTCCCACAACTGGATATCGAACTGGATGTCTGGCGGCTGCAGGAAGGAGGCGGCAAGAAAGATCTGTGCAAGGATTGCAGAAATCTTTCTTCTGTGATTTCAGCTCTGAAGAGGATCTGATTATGTGTCTTTTCTAAAGGCTGCCGCCCCCTCCTACTTGGTAACCCTAAAAGATCAGCTCCTAATCCAATTAGGAGCTGCTGATCCAAATCATATTTGGATCAGACCTCTCTTTAGGTNAACACAAGTCTCATTAAGTGTCCAGTTTTAGGGTCTTACACACAGAAGTATACCACATAACATGAATCAAACATGTACTTCATTTATTTACATTATATATCAAAAGTACATCAAAACTGATTGAACTAAGGGCATACAAAAACTGTCCAAGAGAACCCATGTGGCTGATGTGTAGATCATTGTTTGGGTCCCACGCCATACAAAGAAGCCCAACTGGGTAGTAGTTTGGAAGCATACTGAGCACTAAGACTTCATGGGCCTAAAGCCCATTTCGAACTGGGCTGATTTGATCTGTTAAATAAAGGGGCGGATCTGAGATTAGATTAGCAGATAGGATAGGGTCTTAACCCTATCCACTCAGAGAGTCCAGATCTAAATATAGATTTAGATATGGAAACCTCCTAATAAGATTAGGAGAGGACTGATCTAACCTGCAGATAAGATAAGGGTTTATCCTTATCACTTAAAAGGAATTCAGATCCAAATATGATTTGAATCAGCAACTCCTAATGGGATTAGGAGCTGATCCCTTTAAGGTTATAAAAGGAGGAAGGGGTGGCAGTGTTGGGTGCCAAACCCAATCAAAGATAAATAGTCTTGCTCTGGGTGAATAATTTGCGGATAGTGATTTGCAAGGTCGTTCTCCACAGGGATTGGGTGGATTTATTTCCAAGTAGATGGATTAAGGGGGATTTGTAAAGCTAAGGAAAACAAGTAAATAGCAGAAAATAACAAAAAACAAAAGATTAAATTGATGGGAGAAAACTTCTGATTGAAGGGACAAGTTCAGCTTTGATTCGTAGCATTGATCCTTGATTCAAAGATAGATTCATATGTTTATGAATAAATTGGTTATAGCTATTAACAAGCTCTAA